CGACGACGGCGCCGTCGTCTCCGCGGACGAGAACGCGCCGTCTCGCCGGTCGAAGCGCGGCCGCGGCGGCAAGAAGAACCGCGCCGCGGGCGACAACGAGGCCGCCGGCGACGGCGGCGCGCCCCTCGGCGACGCCAACGGCGACAAGGCGAAGAAGCGCGGCCAGCGCGCGGCGGCGCGCGCGGCGTCCGGCGCCGGCGCGCTCGCGCCCGTCGGCGGCGGCCGCGCGCCGGGCCCGCCCGAGGCGCCGCTGGGCGGCGGCGGCGTCGTCGGCGGCTTCTCGCCCCTCGGCGGCGGCGGCATCGACGCGCCGGGCCTCCTGGGCTACGGCGGCGGCGTCGGCGCGCCCGACGCGCCCGGCGGCGTCGCCTACCAGCCCTTCGGCGCCGCGCCGCGGGCCGCGCACGGCATCGGGCCGGGCAGCCTCGGCGGCGACGTCTACGAGTCGCCGCACCCGAGCGGCGGCGTCATGTCCTGGGGCCTCCAGCCCGCGATCCCGTCGCTCGACCACGCGATCGGCGGCGGCGGCGCGCCGGGCCAGGCCGCGCCGGGCTCCGCGATCGGCGGCATCTTCGGCTCGTCGCTGCTCCAGGGGCCGCCGCCGCCGGAGAGCGGCGCGAACCCGACGCCGGGCGGCCTGCCCTCCAACGGCCTCCTCTGGAGCCGCTGACGCGGCGCGCGACGCGCGCGCTCCGCGGACGCGGCGGGCGTGCTCCGCGGGTGGACGTCCCGCGCGCGCCGACCCGCGGTCGCGCGCCCGCGAAACCGCGGCGCGGCGGCCGCCCGCGGACACCAACTCTCAATCGCGACCCTCGCCGCGTCTCCCACCGACGCGCGACGCTCGCCCCACACATCCCTTTGCACGGCGCCGCGGGCCCCCGCGACGCCGTGCTGCGCCCGAGGGGCGAAAGAACCCGCCGACTAGCGCGCTCCCCGAGCGCGCTCCGACGCGCGGGCTCCGAGCCCCGCGGGCAGCGAATAAGCGTGTGTGACGCAGAGGCGGGGGGTGTCACCGACGCAGGCCTCGATTTGCGCGCACGGGAAGACGCCACAGCTCGAAGGCCTCGGCCGGCGCGGCAAGCGGCTGATTCGACGTAATGCGACGCGTGGACGCTCACAAGTACGCTCACCGTTAGGCGTACCGTTTCGTCTCGCGCCGTCTTCATTGAAGGCTGCAAAGGCGACTTCAAGCAAATCGTCTTCATTTCGCCCTCGAGTCGCCGATCGTGGTGCCCGTCGCAGCCGCGCGCGCGCGACACGTAGCGGCGCGCCGCCGGCGCCCGGTGCCCTCGGCGCGCCCTACGGCGGTGTCCGCCATGAGCGTCGCCGGCTTCAAGCTGACGATCTGGATCCCCGTGGAGCAGGTGGGCATCGTCATCGGGCGGAGCGGCGCGACGATCTCGCGCATCCAGTCGAGTAGCAGCTCGCGGCTGAACGTGGTGCCGGACCCCGAGGCGTCCCCCTGGGCGCCGGTCTACATCAAGGGCGCGCCGGACGGCGTCTTCATGGCCGCGAAGCTCGTGAGCGATCTCGTCGAGGAGCTCGACGACGCGGTCGCGGAGTTCCACCTGTCGGCCAAGGGCCGGGACAAGCTCCGCGCGGGCGGGCCCGACGACGGGTTGGGGAACCTGAGCCCGGAGGCGCGGCGCATCTCCGCCGAGCTCGGCGTGCGCATGCGCGTGCCGCCCGCCGCGGGCAAGGGACGCGGCGACGAGCACCGGCCGTCCAAGGACGGCGAGGCCGAGCCCGTGACGCTCGAGGGCGCGCTCGACCGGGTGAAGCGCGCGCTCCAGTGCGTCATCGCGGCCGCCGGCGGCAAGAAGCTGCCGCCCGCGCCGGGCGCGCCCGCGCCGCCGCCGCCGCCGCCGGAGCAGCCCCGCGAGCCGCCCGCGCCGCCGCCGCCCGCCGTGGAGCGCCTCGTGCAGGTGCCCGCGCGGAAGCTGCGCCTCGTCGCGCGGCGCGGCCAGCAGCAGCCCGTCTACCGCATGATCGCGCGCTACTCGGGCGCGCAGATCGTCAAGTGCCCGCGGCAGGCGCCCGCGCCGGCCGACGCCGCGCCCGCGCCGGCCGTCGCGCTCGAGGAGGCCGCGGCCGCCGC